ATCATAGCTCACTGCAGCCTCAAACTCCTAGGTCCAAGCAATTCTCCTGCCTCAACATCCTGAGTAGCTGGGAGCTCAGGCACCCACTACCATGACAGGCTAATTTCTTATCTTCTCGTGGAGACAGGGGTCTCCCGGTGCTGCCCAGGTTGGTTGTGAATTCCTAGGCTCAAGATATCCTCCTGCCTTGGCCTCCCAGAGTGCTTGGGTTACAGGCATGAGCCACTGCATGCGGCCCCTGCATTGTTTTAAAAATGCTCCTTTACTATCACTCTCCTTATCCCTGATTTATCCTGGGTTCCATTAATGAAGGGGCTGATCTGTGAGAAGACTGTGTTCCTTTTAGGGGCATATGCCTTTTAATGGGTTTGCTCAGGGCCTAAAAAAGATTCAAGACACAAAGGACTGGAATCAGTAAGGTTGGGATTTCAGGCAGTATGACAGGTATCGAGGGGGATATACTGTTGGCCAGAGGCCTTGCCTGACACCATTCACATTTCACAAAACAGACAGTTGTCTACTCCATAAGCAAATGGACAATATCCTTTTCTTCTTTTTTCCCTTCATAATTTTGACATAAACCATGCAGTGGAAAGCAAGTACTGACTGGAAGTATCCATTATGTATGGGGGCCAATTTTATTAAGGATCTAGGAAATACCTCCCTCGGTGGCATATTTAGAAAGTAATATTGGCATCCCGTCTGCCCATGTTATCAGAGAATGACATGTCAATGTCTTGATGCCTGATCTTAATTATTCACTCTCTGCCATTTCCAGAGACCTGAGATGGCTTTCGTCTGTGCTGACACACGGAATATAGTGAAGAGCATTAGTGGATTCCAAGTATGAATACGATAACAGAGAAGAGAAATTATCTATATGTGCAGATATATAAAATTACATATAAATGTATAAACATATATACTTATGTAAAGGTTGCTCCATCAAACCAATTTAGAGGAATCTAGCATAGGTGGTGAGAGTGCCATCTCATTCATACGTGTACAAAACTGTAGTGACTTTTCTTTCCTGATCATCCCCCAGAGAGCACATTGGATTACTTAAATATTACCTGTTAATATTTATGCAATGTTTCACATTATATAATTTGTAGAGTATTCTTTTGAGGATAAAATGAGGAGATAGATATGAAAACACTCTGAGGATTGGAAACTGGAAGATACATTTCATCATAATTATGATTGTGATTATTTTCATGTTATCCATTCGGTTTCACGTTCTGGATTACAAATTCCCAGGGAGTAAGGCTGACATTAGTCGGATTTTCACTGTGAGTAGTTAAATGGCACAATCATGAACAAGGCCCATCACACAGCAAAGCAGAAGGAACAGTGAATTGGAAGCCAAGGAGCTTGAATTTTATTCCCAGCTCTGCTGGTAACAATCCACGTGCCTTGGGCAAATCATTTAATCTCCCTGGGTCTTTGAGTCTTCATCTGTAAAACGAGAAAGTGAATCAGCCAATGTTACATCCAGCTCCCATTTTCAGAGATTTGTGGGTTTTTTTTTTTTTTTTTTTTTTTAAACTCTCATCAGGGAAAGTTCCTACTGCAAAGTCATTGCTTTAACCACAAAAATTAGTTGGGATCAGCTCGTATAACATCGTGTAACATGTTAGGTTGTCAGAATTTCAGAAAACTCGAATATTTTCCAGAAATTGTTTCAATGCCAACAGGCTGTTATCTGAGTTGCTGCCAAAAAATTATAATGTGTGGGAAAAAAAAAAAAAAAAAAAAAAAAAAACATAAAAACAAAAGCTTGGGGGAAAATCTTTTGCTGCTCAATGAATCTTGTTTTTGGTCTGATTTATCTGACTACAAAGAAGTGGTAAATGAAAGTTTTTTTTTCTTTCTTTCAGCTTTTTCTTCCCCTTTCCTTTCTACCTTATCACCTGAGCCCTATTCCTTGGAGAAAAATAGGATCGTTTTAAAACTGCTTTGATAAATTAACTGGTTTAAGTTAGTTGGAGAAAATACAAATTTCCACATCTCTGAAGGTCTGAATAATAAGGTGATATCCGAACAGTAATGTGAAGAAAGTTGAGGGAGCAAGACTTTATTCCCATCTGTGTTGGGCAAGAGCATCAGGCTGAGGGAAGAGCAAGTGCAGAAGTCTAGAGGCATTTTTTGAGGCAGGAGAGTGTCTGGTTGCGGGAATAACAAAAAGGCCAGTATTTCTGGTGTCAAAGAGAGAGAGAGAAAAAGTAGGAGAGGATGGCTGAAGATGAGGAGGGGGAGGCAGGTTTTATAGGACTTCGTAGGGCATTAATGAAATGGGGAATCATTTGGGTTTTGTCAGAGGAATGATTTCCAAGTGTTGTTGCAATAGGATATTTCTGGCAATAAATACGGAGTGCAGCTAAGAGACAATAAGAATAATGCCGGGTATGGATAATGATATCTTGGAACAAAGTGGTAATGGTAGAGTGTTGATAAGTGGTCTGGATCCACTTTGACAGAAGAGCTAACATAATTTGTTGATAAATTGGAATATGAGAGAAAGAGAGAAGCCCAAGATGACTCGGAGGTTATGGCTTGAGAAGTTAAAACTATGGAATTGTTATCAACTGAGATGAGAAAATGAAGAATTTGTCTTCAGATATGATTTTGATGCCTGGATGAGGAAGAAATGTTTCTTAAATTCTTACTCAGTAAACCTGTATTGAGTAATTATTTTCGTTCATATTTAAATTTAGAAAGGAAACTTAGAAATGGGAAAAAAAAATCTAAGACTCAGCCATTCTTTTAATTTCATTCATGCATTCATTTATTCATTCAGTTAATATGTACTGTAATCTCTTACACATTAAAATCACCCTGCTAGGTGCTGGGAGACATAGAAAATTGTTCAAATGTGAATTATGTTGTCAGCACACATATAATTTATTAGTAGTACCTGATAGAGGGTAGAAAGGTGATTCGTTAAAACAGGTAAGGTACCACGACAGTTGGATATAGGCAAGTGACTATAGGGAGTGGTACCCTATGAGATGACCTTAAAAATGGGTTGACATTTTATAATCCTGGATGAAGGTTGCCACATCACCAAAGCCAGAAAGACTATGAAAGAGGAAAGACATTCTCTTGTCTGTTAATGACTTTGTGAGATTGTTGAAAGTAATTTGAAAGAACAATCTAGATGAGACTCTCAAGAAGTTCTGAGAATTAAGCCCTAATTCTCATTGTATGTAACACATTTACTTATATGTAGCTAGAATGGAATTAGTTATATGCCATCTTTGGGAAGATTAGGAAAATTTTTCCATGCTTGGGAAAGGCTAATCTAATCCCTACAAGTCCTAAATTCAAGGTTATATTTATGTAAAACTTAAATTCAAGGTTATATTTAACTACAATAGAAGAGTTCAGCTCCTTGTCAAACCTCTGTATCTAACTCCATAAGCAAATAAGATGGTGGTAGGCCTGATGTCTGTTGAACTTGACATTGGGTGAGAGGCTGTAGGTAAGGTAAAATAACAAAAGAAATAAAAGGAACTGCTCTTACCCTTGAGGGTCATGTAATCTAGTTGGGAAGGCAAACACAAGAACGAATACGTAAGAACAGTTTTATAGCATGATCTAAATACTGCCCAGTGATATCATAGTCTTTGAATGTGTACAAAGTATAGGGTGCTAATTTGCATTAAGGAATAATGAAGGTTGGCTGGGCTAAATTAGAGAGGACATCCTTGAGAATCTAGATCTTAAGGAAATACTGGCAAGTCATTGATTAGTCAATTTTTAAAAATTGACATTTGAGCAGAGATTTTATGAGCTAAATGATTGAGATTTTATGGGAATGCTGGTACACAGAAGGCTTTCCTTAATTTTTCGAGGAAATCTTCATGTACAAAAGTCTTCGCTTCATTTATGTTTGTACTCCCAGAGTCTGCAGGATTTTCCTTTCCTGAAGGCTGACATCTGTCTAATACTTGAGTTGTGAAAAATGTCCCTTTTGATAGGCTCTTTTCATTGACAGTTATAAAATTTCCTTTTGGAAAGCACTGAGTGCTGCCTTCACAAAATGAATAGTCTAATATGATGAAAACGTTCAAGGAAATGCAAGATCCCACACAGACAAATCCCTCACCCTCTGTGTGTGGCTAACTGACTGATAAAGCTGTGTCTCTCAGGATGTGGACATGGTGAGGGATTTTGAGGAATGGCTCTTTTTACTCTGCAGGGGGCTTACTCCTTGGAGCCCTCCGTGCAAGCAACTAGAGGCGTCCTACACACATTCAAGAGAACAGGGACCCACACTGCATTTTTCCAGTGCCAACTTTGTGTAATATGTTGCCAAAACTAAAAATTTGTAATGGTAAATATCCAAGGCTTAATGTCAAAGGGGAAATGCTGTTGCAGGTGGAGGAGGAAAGATGTGCTGTTTTCCTTCCTTCTTTCTTTCTTGCTTTCTTTCTTCTTCTTCCTTCCTTCCTTCTTTCCTTCCTTCCTTCCTTCTTTCTTTTTTGAGATGGAGTCTCACTCTGTCACCAGGCTGGAGTCCAGTAGCACCATCTCAGCTCACTGCAACCTCTGCCTCCCGGGTTCAAGTGATTCTCCTGCCTCAGCCTCCCCAGTAGCTGGGACTACAGGCACGCACTACCACACCCAGCTAATTTTTGTATTTTTAGTAGAGACAGGGTTTCACCATGTTGGCCAGGATGGTCTCGATCTCTTGACCTCATGATCTGCCCGCCTCGCCTACCAAAGTGCTGGGAGACTGTGCTGCTTTCAACAGGCATGTTGATTGAGGCTGAAGAAAAACCTGACAGTGCCCTGTGTTACCTGAGCACTGGCACATTGAAATATCACATAAGTGATGCATAGCATTTAATGAGTCAGGACTGAAAACTTTAATTTGCTTGTAGGGCTTTTTATTATTTTATTTTTTGTTCATTATATTTTCTGCTCAGTCTCTGTGGATGTTCTGCATTTTCATCATCAAATGACTGGCTGGCTATTTTTGTCAAACAAGAAGCCTGAAACCATCAAGTCTGAGTGTGGAGACAGTCTGCCTGCTCTGTCAACAGGATGAAAGTGAGTCTCAGGCTTTTTTTAATTACAAGGATAACATGTTCGCTCATCTAATAATGAAGATGGTTAGCAATTTTAAATTTTAATAATCAATTACTGAAAGTAATTCTCCATTAAACCACAAGAGAGCCATTAAATCTCAAAAGATGGAACATGCTGTATGTAACAGTAGCAAATTTTCTATTTTTAAATATCATTAGGGAATATCTGATTGTTTCATTTCTCTGCATTTCTTTTACCTTTTTCCTCATGCAGACCATCTCATTTTCTGCAGGAAGACAGCGCATGATCTTATAAATAATAAAAGAAAAACCTTGCAAGACTTGATCCAGGGGTGTGAAATATGTGCTAAGAATGTAATTTATTTCAGTCTGGCATATTTTGACTGCATAATAAGGAAGGTGACTAATTAATATTATACTATGCTGTGGGCAAGGCAGCAGAGTGGGCTGGTCCATGCTCCTTTCACCTCTGGAGACCTGCATCCAAGCCTTGGAGGAGTTACATCCGCTGAGCAGGGCTTGGGGGCGGGGAGGGGGAAGCGTCAGATGTCTTTTCTCGGCCGTGGAGACCCCTGTCCATATTCTAAAACTACCCTGAACATCAGCTTCTGCTCTGAGGAGATGAGGGAAAAGACAAATGATTGCTAGTTGGCTGTTCAATTTGGCAGACTTATATGTCAGGGGGAGAGAGCTCCGTGACAGCTTCAGCTGCTCTAGCTCTAGCCGGGCTTAGCTCTCTCACTTTCACCCCGCTGAAATCTTTGGAAAAACATGGAATAAACAGTGTGTATCTGTGTGCATGTTTGTGTGTGTGTGTGTGTGTGTGTGTGTGTATTCAGGTAGCATGTTGGATAGTGGTGACCAGAAAAACAGAAAATGATTTAAAATCAAATTAGGTTAAATCTCCATTAGAAGCAGCTGATTCCATTTCTACAGTATTTGAATCTCAAAGAGTAGAAGGGTACTGTGATAAGACACTTGGTTTGCTTTCAGATGATGGGAAGGCCACTTTGAATCTAACCAGTTGCGCTACACTCAGCACCAACTACCATCTGGTCTGTGGGATGCAGAGAATTTCATTGCTTCAAGTGCCATAAGCAACAGGGCCAGAAATGGGGTTCTTACCACCTCATCATCTTTGATTGATTTTCTGATGGGGAGTATGCCCGTATTTCTGAACTGTGCTGACCTTTCCAACAAGCAATCCCCTGCTTCCCCCAGAAGGGACTGAAGCAGAAACTGTGCCAAGTCAGGCAGAATTGGGTGGGGATAGGAGTAAGGTGAGCCCAATTTCATGACACGGGTAGTTAAAATGCAGTTTATTTACAATTATTCAGAAGATATTTCAAGTTTCTTGATATTGTAGTGTTCTTGTTTCTCTCTCATTCTGCTACGTGGAATTTAATCATGATTGGAACCATCAGCAGGGAGAAGATGGTCTGGTGGAGATAAGGGAAAAGTAGCTGACGTTGAGTAATTTTGATCTTTATGGGCACAACTGAGAGATGCTTTGGAGAGGAAGGTTAAGAAGAAATTACTGAAGTTTAGATTCTGTTGTGAGTTTCAATTACCTGGTTATGATGACGAATCCATATTCTCCCCATCTCCTAATATTTGCAAAACTGAGATCTTTGTGTGAGAGTGATGTGTTCCAACTGGGGCATCATGTCTGGATCGCATAGGCAGGTTTCAATGGCCAGAAATCCTTTTCTGGCAATAAAAGGAGGCAGTGAAATCCTCATTAGTGGGTTTGGTTCCGCTTGATATTTGACTGCAATTCTTGCATGTTCTCTATCCCATTTTCCACAGAAACAAGTCTGATCCCTTAAAAGGACATGTAATAGAAAATACTGCTTCTTTTATTTGAAATCTATATTTAGAAACAAATTATAGCTCCTTATGCTGTGGTTTAGCCGAGTGGCTATTTTGGGGTCATAAGAATCCCCCAAAGCTAGCTGACAGCTAATGTGGGTTGGGTGTTTTAGATTGGTCCCCAGGGTGCACACAGGTAAACTGAGCAACATACCTTGAGTCCTCAGCTATTTGGGTTGGAGGTCAGGCTGTGGACCCCCTCCCCTAGGAATCTTTACTACTGCAGAGTAGGAGAGAGTGAACTCTTAGTGGCTTCCCTACAGAACAGCTGATACTCCACAGACAGTTGGAGGGAAAGGGCAGTACCAAATCCCCCTTACTGCCCCAGAGGAGTTTGGGTTGTTCCCTGGAGGAAGAAAAAGTCACCGCTGGCACAACTGAAGGTGGGATTCTATTCTACAGAGCAGACGGAAAAGTCAGCAGGGGGCGACTCCAGGGACTCCTTTGCTACTTGCTAAGAAGCAGAGAACAGAATAAGAGCAAAGCCTTAGGGAGGCCTAAGCTAACACCCAGTGGAGGAAAGGAGAGGCAATCAGGTAGCCTTTCTAGATGGCTCATGGTTAAAATCACAGAAAGAAAATATAGGAAACCTCTAGCTGTAGGTTCCTTGCTTACTGATAAGAATTTGAATGACTGGTGAAGATCAAAGAGGTAGATAGCAGCTCTACGTACACCAAAATGGAGGGCCTCTGATTCAAGGCACCAGGTTTGCTGCACTATGAAATGTGTACAGTGAAACAAATGATTTTACACTGAGGTTCAAAGCAGCAAGAGTGTGAGATAGTGGCGAGGATCTGGGCTTTTGTAGTTGGACAGTGCTGAGTTTGAGTTCCAACTTAGCCACTCAGTAGCCCTGTGACTTTGAGCAGTTTACTTAACCACTTTAAACCTCATTTTTCTCATCTGTTAAATGAAGATTAAAATAGGGCAGGATTTCTCAACCTCAACACTATTGACATGTTGGACTGGATAATTTAAAAGCCCCCAATTCAATGTAGGGGCTGTCCTGTGCATTGAAGAACGTTTATCAGCATCCCTGGCTTCCACCTCTCAATTGTCAACAGGAAAACCACTGCCTACAAGTTCTGACATCCAAAACAAAACAAAACAAAACAAAACAAAACACGACTCCAGACATGCCAGATATCCCCATTGGGCAGTATGGACACCACTGAAAACAACTACAATAGTTTTAAGGTAGAAATAATGAGATTGTATGCAAAGCACTCGGCATAGTATCTGGCATATAATAATTGCTCAATAGATATTTGTTGTTATTTATACCCGTTGATAAAAATGTGAGATGTATTTTTTATTTGATATAATTAAAGCAGATATTAGGAGATGCCAATCACTCTCTCCACACACATGTGAATATTCCTAATTCAGAGTTTCAACTGACTTGGTGCCTTTTGCTTTGAACAAGAGGAAGCAGGTTAAAAAAAAGACCATTTTTTTGTGTGTGTTCTCATTCTTAGTTCATGTGCAGTATGCAGATACACTCACAGCTCACCTGGCAGAGGGTTTGCATAACAGTAACTGCATGATTAATTGATAAACACTGCAGTGTTCATAGCATATTCTGGAAGAACAATTACAAGTTCCCCAACGTAATAGATGTTTTAATTTTGAGTAGTTGCCCACGATATCTTGACTTAGAAAGACATTTATGACAGTTATATGTAGGCTTCCATTAAAAATTTACTTATATTGTTTCTGAACCATAGAATATTCACTTGTTTCATTGACATAATCTAACCAGGAAGAATGGTACTCATTTCTGTTTATCATGCACATTAATGTCTTATCTCATTTGCTATTATTTGATAGCATGCACAATAATATCATCATTCAAAATGCTATTCTTCTTGCATTCAGTGATTAGAAACAAAGTGTGCATCGTGCACTAAGTCCTGGCTTCACATCAAACTCTCACCACTTCTTCAGCAAAAGCAAACTTCAGGATACTAATAAGAATGGGCATGACTAACCAAGGTAATTTCTTCCTGAATTAATCTTAAACTCTTTAAGAGTCATCAAGGTTTTATTTCTTTGGCTCCAGATTGAACTGTTGAATTTTGCAAAAAGCATTAAAAGTTACACAAGGGGGATTAAATTAAAACAAAAGATACAACTACCCTTAAGACCTCATTGAAGAGAGTTGGAGAAAAATGTATCTTTTAGGCTCTAAACATCAAAAGATACATTTATACATATGTAGCTTTTGTTTAAAAGCTTTTGTGTGTATATATATATGTATCTTTTTAAAAGAAATCTTCGGGCTAAGAAAACTCACCTTTCAACTTGTATTGGAAATATTTGGGTTTGGTCCTCCTATGTAATTGTAGAGTATAATTCATAGAGTAATTTATAAAAACATTAATTTGACAAGTACTCATGGCAAACACTTTGGGCAAATGGTATATTAGATTAGAATTTGTGTTTCGCTGAAAGTAAGTTGAAGAACCAAATCAAAACAAAGTTGTTTTTATTTCATTTAAATCTGCTCTGTGATATTCCAGGACATCTGTCAATTTCCCTGGCTCAACTTTCCAGCTCTTGTTTCTTGTACACTTTTCTAAGCCCCCAATATAAATTTTCGTGCTTACTTACCTTTTCATTTTGAACATCATTTTCATCACTTTCTTAATTCTTTGGGTTAAAACACATCCTTCACTTTCTCTTTCCAAGCCATACCTGTTGCTTTATTCCTTAGCCTTCATTTCTTGAGTGGACATTTTTTACTACATTGTTTTGTACTGGTTTATTTTGCTCAGCAGTTTTATACCAATTGCATGTGTTTTGTATCTTTCCAAGTAGACTGTTATGTCACGGAAAGCATAGACTGCCTTTGGTTTCTGTTTTTCTCGAAGTACCCACCAAAGTGTTTTGGATGTATGAATATTATATTGAACTATTTTAAAATAAGTTTTAATGAGGGGCTTTTAATTTAAATGCTTAAAATTATATGATAACTCTACATAACCACCAATACCAACATCAGAAATACCATTATTTAGAATGGTACACTTGTTTAATCCGGTTTAATTCTCATTTTGCAGATAGAAAAACTGAATGGATTAATGATGCAGGCTGGGCGCGGTGGCTCATGCCTGTAATCCCAGCATG